TGTAAGAACTTTGTGTAATTGTGACATACTTGTTTTTCATAGAAAAACTTTTGTAATGTCTGTATTGTTTATAATGAAGAGTTAGTATATCTGTGAGGCCTTGTCCTCCTGTTTACAAGGAAGAGTCAAGCCATTTTGCAAAAGACTTGGATAGTACTTTTCTTTATATTTCTTAAATGTTCGTTTTTCACTTTGTTGCTACAGTTGTGTCTAATGTTTAGATCCAAATGATTATGTGTTTTGCTCCAGTTGTATTGTTAGTACTGAGTTTAATCTGCTGCTGTATTCTTCTGTTATTCTTTATTTTCTTTGTGCTTGTTCTGTGAGTTTGGCCTGTTGGAATCCTAAATATTTATAGACGTCATCGTCATCGTCACCCAAGGATTCAATGACGTCTTCATTTCCGAATAAATAATCATTTTTCTTTGCAGTTCGGTTTTCAATTTGAAGTGTTCTGCGCTTGCCTAGGCCAAATTACATTTGAATATCAGTGGAGTAAGTGTATAACATCTAATAGGTGACTTAGCTGTGCTTGTATGGATGCATACTTTTATGTCGTCCAAATACAGGAAATAAAATAATATGTATTGTTTTGTTCTGTTGTGTTCGGTGTTGTATTTGTGTATTTGTATTTAGTATTTTTTAAACTAGTAGACAGTAGATTCAAGACAGACAGAACTATAGTGGATTTAAGTAATGTCCTTGGAAGATTTCTTAATATGTACGTTTAGTTTGTTTCAATGTATGTGTCGTAAAGTTTGAAGTGTAGTATTGTTTTCAAGAGTTGCGTTATGTTTTTTACAAATGTTGGATATACTGTATTTTGTTTAGTTGTACAGTACCTGTCAAATACTTTCTTATAATTCTTATTATGATACGTGTTGTTTGTGAATTTGTGATAGAAGAACTGAATCTAAGAGTAATTTCCATGTGGTTTCTACGACATCTTTTCTGTTGTTCTCTAAGAATGTTGTGTTGTTCTGTATCATTTTATATTGTGTTTATGATATATTAAGTATTTTATAGCGTGTAGTAAGGCACGTGATTGGTCTGTATTGTATAGGATCACTGATGTTAATTTTTGAATTTTATGTAAATGATATCAGCCTTGTGTAAGAAATTTTGTCTTGTAAATTGTTGGTTGTGTATGCAAAATGTTTGGCGTTGTAAATATTTTATACCAGAAATTTTGAATGTTGTCTTTTAATTATTATTATTTTTTGACACAAGGCATGATTAGTGTATTGTGCATGTTGTTTTCTTTTTCTTTGATTCACTTTGTTTCATTTTTGTGTGTGATTGGATTGCATCACAAGTGCGGCTAATACTTTATGACTTTTTTGTGCTCTTTGTGCTGTAGTTGTATGGTGAGCTTGCCAAAATAATTTATTTTGTTACAGGTCTTTGCTTCTTGGCTACTAGTTTTTGTTTGAAAGTATCATAGTATTCATGCATTTTCATATTGTGTTGTTCGTGCTGTGTGTGTGTTTTAATTTATTTGAATATTTCCCTAACCTTTTTCATTAAGTGTAGTATTGTTGTTTTTAATGTATTGTGTCGACCTAATTGCTACTTATTGCCAGGCAGGCTTATAATTTGTTTGTTTTAATTGTCAGTTTGGGATTGTATTTGAATGCCATGATATGTAGCTATAGTGAGTGCAACAGAAAAGACTAATGTATACTTTGGTTGAATGTATTTTGGCAATATGTATTTAAATAATAAAGCTTTCCTAATTGTTTAGATGTGTTTATTTTGGAAATTTGTGATTTTTGTATGGGCTCTAAATATGTGCTTATGTATGTTTCTTGGAATAAATTTGTAAATGTGCTAATATAGTGTCATTGGTTTGTAATTGTGTTTATGTTTTCATGTGTATTTTATGCTGTGTAAGTTTTCATGAATGTTTTGTTGAAGTATTATCACAGAATGTGTATTATCTAGTGTTTTATGTACAGTATATGGCCAATAAATTGCTGTTTGATTCGTACCAATGTTGTTTCTGCGATAAGATTGCTGTGTATAATTATACTTTCCTAATCAACATGCCTTTGTTTTAGTAACAGTACTCTTGTGAATTTATGTGGCGTCTGTCTTTATGCCGACATGTCTGTTCATGTTTTATGATGATACGGTCGATGAATTCGTTTACGTCTTGAATCCATTTGTTACGTGGTTTTCCGGCCTTTGTAATGGACTGACACTGAATCACCTAGATCGGCCCCTCTGACGCTGTTCAGCAGTCGCCCACTCTACTTTGTGGGTCAGTTTTTGCTTCGTTTCTCCCTACACACCATATTTGGGTAGCCCTATTGGAAGCTTATTCACCGGCCGGCATCACTTTATGGTTCATAACTATTAAACTCTCTGACCTCGATAAAGTGGCAACTAGCAAGAGACTCATTATTATATTATTATTATTATTGTATGTATGTTATTATGTAGATTATCATTATAATATAAAACACCATAAAAGAAATTAATATGCAATAATTTTTTTAAATATTTAAAAATTTAAAATAAAATTAATAAAAAAATTTTATCTTTATCATATTTTAATGTATAATATGAATTATATAAACAACACATATACATTTTTTACATAAATTTATATTCTTCGCATCGGATGGAGCTTGTTACACTGTGTATTATTGGAGACACTATAACAAGACAATATGTTTTGTCAGCATCTTCAACTGAACGATTCTATTGTTGTTTTTCCTATTGTCATAATATACGGATCAGTTTTTATCGCTCCATTGAGAATCTAGAGATCCTGCAATTGATCTCTGAAATGAGATCCTTTCACAAAATCCTGCTATCGAATTTTTATCCGGGTCGCATTGATTTACACAGAATTCCGGATATCATCAGTTAAAAGAAATTATATCTTTGTTCGATTATCCGTTATCGATTCGTCTAATTTAATGGTGTGTAAAATATTTTTTAAAAGGGGACCATCATTTCGGGGAGTCTCAACTATACTGGATCTTAGTTCAGGATCCTAAATGTCGTACAATACAAATATCACGTAATGTGGGTTCGAAAAGCGGCCTCCTGTACCCCTATATACGCATTTTATTAAAAAATTATTACATGAATTTTTAATATTTTCTTTTGAAATTTAAGAAGTAAGAGCATTATTATTATTCATTTATATTTTACAAAAATTTACTTATAGATGAAGGTGCTTAAAAGATATAAAAACCAGTCGATTTTCTGCAGTTGATTTTTTTTCTTATGCTGAAAAAAATAAAATAAAATAAAAACGGAGGGAGCGAAAGAGAAATGAGGGTTGGAGAAAAGGCAACATAATGTAAAACAGATATCTGGGCAAACAATCCCATGGGAGCATTCAGTCCATACCCTGCTTTGGCAACCTAATGGAGAAACGGTGTCTTTCAGCTCGTAAAAGACATTAACGCTTTCTAGGCAGTCTGCTGAAAACAGCCTCCAGTGTCCTACGTCACACATTGACTCCATCTTTTACACAAGAGTGCTGCAGCTCTTTCATACTCAATCATTACCAATGGCTAAAATAATGATCTTCACAGATAAATGTTTTGTGTGATTTTAAATAACACCCACGTGTTTTATTTTTTTAAAAGTTATATTAAATTATTATATTTATACTCAGGTTTACTAGTGATACGTCATACTATAACAATACTTTTTATTAATTTTTAACTTTAAAAAAGTAAGTAATTTTTGGGATATTTTGAGCATTATTTTTAGAATTAAATAAAAAAATTTAAGCTAAAAATTAGTCATGTATAAGTTAATTGTATTATTTATTTTTATTGTATTTTTTTAATTTAAATTTTTTGAAAAATTCGCTTAATTTTTATTTTCTTTTGATGAATCCATTGGGAATTACATTAATTTATATTCAAATCTATTGAATTAATTATATGGAAATACTTGATGGATATTTCTGGAGCGTAGATAATTTGTCGCAAACAGGCGAGGCACAGGAGACACTCCTCCCTCTTTCAGTCACGTCACACCAATGGGCGTTGTCGTGTCAAACACGAACACATATTGCTAGGATACAAATTTGGAATATGCAAAAATCCTTCCTTTCAATTTGTAGAAATCCTTACATTCCAATGGAATATAATTATCAAATTTTCTATGTGATTCACGCGGGGGAGGAAATTCGTCGTCATATTCCATGATTCTGTAAAGTATTTGTAGTATTGGCCTGCTGTAAGAATTAAAATGGGGGTTTTTTTGAAGTGAAAGTATCTGTTTATAAGAAAATTATGGGATAGTTTGTAAAAAGAAAAGTAAATCAATAAATTCGTTAATTATCTGTGAACAACATCTATAAAACGGACTTCATTAAGAAGTTCTCTTTGATTTTGGTCTTATACAATAAAAAATTAAACTTTTTAAGGGAAAATTTTAAGATAATGTTTGATAATGCTTTTATCTTCTATAAGTTTTAATGGGGTTTTTTAATTAATAGTGCAAAATAATATACGACTTTTTTTCAAATTTATGTAAGTTAGATAGGATTGGATTTTTGGAATAAGGCAACACAACACGAGGGTAATTTACTAAGTGGTGCATCTCGAGTGGACTTTCTATGGAAAACTATTTTGGTTTTAGACGTGGAAAAATTCGGAAAACTCCACGCAACCAACCTGTTGGTCAGGCTCGAAACCCACAACCAACATAAAAACACTTTAGTGGTATTTCAGAACATTTCATAAAGAATATTGCACTTCCTTTATTTATAGTTAAACTTTTAAAAAAAAATTATATATTCCAAAAAATGCATATAATTTTTGTGTGATTTAACTTCATTTTAATCTTTCTAAATTTAAAAATAAATTAAAGAAAATTCTCAATTTTAAATTGTTTCTATGTCTTATATACAAATTTTAAGTAATAAAGGAATGCTTACTGTTTGAAGAGTATTTATAAAAGAATTAATAGAATATAAATATAAAATTATTAATATATGTATATAAATAAATAAAGAAGTTATATACCATTTTGACTACGGCTACTCCCATGTTACAACGAATGCCAAAACTGATAAGGAAGCCAACAGAACTAAGGACAGCAACTGTATACCGTTTTGTTAGATCGCAGCAAGGACAGTTTGGCTCTAAATACCTCTTCCAATTTTTATCTTTTTCTTTAGTTTCTGGACCATAATATTCTTCTTGTAGTTCATCGTGTTTGGCAAAACCTTTCTCGTCATCTTTTTTCTTTAATTTGCTTTAAAAATAATATTGTAATTCAATTTTTAACATCGTTTATGTGATTTTTAATCTTATAAACTATATATTTATATTATAAACTGTTGATATACTTTATACTGTTTTTAATTTTATAATGGCATATAAAATTAAATGGGCTCGTGTTGTAGCTGTTTAGGTATAAGTGATGCAGATTTTTTTTTTTCTTTCTAGGGCCACAGACATGTTGAGGCCCTACCCAAGCTCAGTACAAATCCTATGATTACTAATTAGTACAGATTTTGTAGGTAATGTAATCATTAAGGTCTCAGAAAGCCAAATCACAAGCTTTCAAGAAGCCTATAAGACCTGTGAGTTGACTTTCTGAGGCCTCTTCATTAAAGAATGCACTACTTTTCAAAGGATAAACGTTAAAAATTTACTAAATAACTATTAAATTATTGAATTATAAAACAAAAATATCTCTTTTAAATAAATAAAATGAGAGAACAAAAGTGATTTTTATATTATTTTTTAAATAAATTTCTATAATTTATAATATTAATTTTTATATTAACAGGAGAATTAATTTATTGAATTTTGCCTTATTTTAAAAATAAATTTGATTGTTTTAATTTACTTATTTAAAATTATATAATCGAGATTGATTGAATTTTTATTAAAAATCAAATGAATTTTTTATTTTAAATTTTTTAATAATTGGCGTTTTCATTTATAAAAATCAATTTTTATTATAATAAAAATACAATATTCTCTCAATTTTATTACTTTAATATAAATTTAATCATATTTAAAAATAATTATAATTAGGGGAGACCGGGGCAACTTCGGCATGCGGGGCAAGTTTGTCAAGCGCTTTTTTTTAAAAACAAATTAAAAGGAGACTTTGATTATAGGTTAGGCAGTTGAGTTTTATTGGTGGCTTGTTGAGTGTAGTGTTTTTATTGTTCTCCAACAAGCGTAGTTGAATTATCAAGCAAATTTTCATTTTCGTTGAATTCCATATAATATTTTNGAAATACACAAAAATGTAGTTCAACAAGGATACATTTTGATGGTATTAATAGAATTTCAACCAGAACAATTTAAAAAAAATTGCTTCTGTAATAGTTGAAATTTTCAAAATTTCATTTGAATCCAAAATTGTTTTGGACGAGGACAACTGATAGTACAATAGCAAAGGAGAAAAAAAAAATGCTTATTTCTATTTAAACATTTATGTGTTTTTCATAATACACAACAGTGTTATATTAAAATAATAAAAATGTATTATTTAATTTTATTTTAAAAAATCTCTGTATAGGCCTACATGGGAATACAGATATTTAAATATAAATTTTCTGCAGAGAGAAAACAATTCAATGACAATTGCACAGATCTAAATTGCTGATAACTTTTTTAAACTTTTAACATTCTGCTACATACTATACAATAGTTAGACAAATTACAAAAAGGTAAATACAGTCTATAACACTGTTGATAATTCCGTTTTATATGAATTCCATGTTGTACGGGTCACTTAGATTTTACAAATATGTGAGATTTTACAAATACGGCACATGTATTTGTAAAATCTAAGTGACTCGTACAACATGGAATTCATATAAAATGGAATAATCAACAGTGTTATGGGGGTTGACTCTAATTGTAATGTTTTGCCATTTTCCAGATTGTAGTTTAATTTCTTTTAGAATACAATGAGCCCCTCACTTTCAATTGATTCAGCATATAATCAAATACCTTTACTTATGATGATTCCTGCCAACTGGAACATGTGAGCAAGCATTAGAGACCATATACAGTGAAAACTGCTTAGGCAACCACCTGCAATACAACTCTGGGTTTAAATATAATAAAGGAAAACTAACAAAGTTATTTTCCCCAGATTAAAAATAAAAATTTTGTCAATAAAGGATTTATTCTCTCTCTTTCCCAGCCTATAACTGGGCTTAGCAATTTTAAATACTACCTGGAACTGATAAATTGTTTGATACAGCTTTTATTTTTGTAACTCGTTCTCTTAAAAAAGTAGAAATATTAACATCAAATTTAAAATAGTAAAAGATAAATTATAATTGGAAATCTTGATGACATAAAAGAGAAATTGCCTCATCCAGCAGAAAAATCTATATATATATATATATATATATATGGACTGGTGTTATATTATAATATTTCTGGTGAGTGAATAGACAGTCGACTTATCACCCTCATCTTGGGATTGTACCATTCATCACCATGACTTTCTCCCCCCTTTCCGCAAAAATCGATGTAACACTAGTTTCTAAAACTATCGACTGAGAAAAAGTGCAACTAAATTTATATTTAAAACAAAAAAAAACTAAAATTAAAATGTTTTTTATGTATTAACAAGTGCTGGATAATAGGATTTTTATTTCCGGTTCTGGCAGTGTTTTATATTAAATTCTCCTTTATTGATCAAACCTGCTTGATATAAATTTTTATGACACTAATCAAACCTACCAATGAATTATGGTTTATATATTGTAATAAATTTTGTTTTCTCGTTGATAATAGTTGTGTTAAATCAAAAATTATGGATTAATTTCTCTTATAAATTTCATTAAATTGCGAATAAAATTGGAAATTTATTTTGGATTTTGTCTAGAAAATTTGGGAAATTTTTGTAAGATTTTTTTTTAGGAAAATATATTAAAATTTTATTGCGAATTAGAATGTTTATAAAATGCATATATGTCATTATGAAATTTAATTACAGTTAAATTGAAGAAATATTCAATTTGAATAATTAAGGTAATATATTTTAATTTTATATATGAAATATATTCGAGATATAATCTATAAAAGGATGAATTAATACAATTCTATAATAAAAGAACTAAAAAATTATTTTATTTTCAGTTATTTGTATATGTTACCGCTAAAGCTCGGAAACTCGTTAATCTGCAGATTAACTAGCGTGATCCGTTAAAGTTGCTAAAATTGTTCTATTTCTCAAATTACCTAGGTAATGTGCAGATTATCTAGGTAATCTGCAAATTACCTACTAGGCACTCGGTAAAGTGAAAATAAGATCTTTGCTGAAACAACAGCAACGTTTCTGTACGCTTAAATTAACATAATGTTCTTTATTTAATTTTC